AGCATGCTACTGCACTCCAGCCTGGATGATGGAGTGAGATTCTGAATCAAAAAAAAAAAAAAAAAAAGACTGTTACCTAGAAAATTATGTACATACAAAATTATATACATACCATGATTGCAATCATAAGGTCGTTAAAACAAATTTGGAGATGTGCCAAGATTAGCAATGCCTGCCTCTAGATGGATTTTTCCCTGTTTCAATAACTTGTACTAAATTTTACATACTTTCTTTTCTTTTCTTTTTTTTTTTTGAGTTGGAGTCTCTCTCTGTCGCCTAGACTGGAGTGCAGTGGCCACTCCTGGCCACCGCAGCCTCAACCTGCTGGGCTCCGGCGATCCTTCCGCCTCAGCCTTCCAAGTAGCTGGAACTACAGACGCGCACTACCATGCCCGGCTAATTTTTTTGATTTATTATAGAGATGAGGTCTCGCCAAGTTGGCCAGCTGGGTCTCCAACCCACGGGCTCAAGTAATTCACTCATCTCGGCCTCCCAAAGCGCGGGATTACAGCCCGAGCCACCAAGCCCGGCTCCTTTTTTTCTATGCCGATCCTGAGTGATGTATCAGGTAAAATATGCACAGGAAATAACATTAGAAGGCAAAGTTGTTAAAATTTTGGAATCTTGATTTTTTTCTCTTCTCTATTTTCCAATTTTTAAATAGTATGATTATATTAGTTTTGTAATTTAAAAAATTTATTTATTTTTTTTTAGTTAGAGTCTCACTCTGTCACCCAGGCTGGAGTACAGTGTCATGCTCACAGCCACCCCAGCATCGACCTACTGGGCTCTGGCAATCCTTCTGCCTCAGTCTTCCAAGTAGCCTGAACTACAGGTGCACACTACCACACCTGGCTAATTTTTATTTATTGTAGAGACAAGGTCTCATCAAGTTTCCCCGGGCAGGTCTAGAACCCATGGGCTCAGGCAATCCACTTGTCTCAGCCTCCCAAAGTGCTGGGATTACAGGTTGAACCACCTAGCCCGGCCTCACTGAAACTTGAAAAGAGCAGAGACTGGCTATCCTTTTTCCATTCTCTCTTCTCCCATGGAGGATAATTTACACGGAAAAGAAAATACTAAAAAATTAGTATTTCCAGCCGGGCTCAGTGGCTCAGCCTGTAATCCCACACTTTGAGAGGTTGAGGTAAGTGGATTGCCTGAGCCTGTGGGTTCGAGACTCGCCTGAGCCCAGCAGGTTGAGGCTGCGGTGGCCAGGAGCAGCCACTGCACTTCAGTCTGGGCAACAGAGTGAGACTCCAATTCAAAAAAAGAATATTTCCAGACTTTAAGACATGCAGAGAAACCCACAAAGAGCAGTTTTATGGGTCATATTATCCAGTGTATTACCCCAGAGTGTTGCATTCATCTGTGTTCCATTTCCCTTAGGGCATTTCCCAAGTTTGTAATCATACATAGTGTGATTATTTGATTAATATTGTCCTCTGTTAAGGACAGGACTCTTGCTTATCATTGTATCACTTATCGCTCTCCCAAGAACAGTACTCTTGCTTATCATTGTATTTTTTTTTTTTTGAGTTCAAGTCTCACTCTGTCACCCAGACTAGAGTGCAGTGGCATGCTCATGACTACCGCAGTCTCGACCTGCTGGGCTCCGGCGATCCTTCCGCCTCAGCCTTCCAAGTAGCTGGAACTACAGGCGCACGCTACCACACCTGGCTGATTTTTTATTTATTGTAGAGATGAGGTCTCGCCAAGTTGCCCAGGTGGTCTCGAACCCGCGGGCTCAGGCAATCCACTCACCTCAACCTCCCAAAGGCGTGGGATTACAGGCTGAGCCACTGAGCCCGGCTATCATTGTATTTTTATCCCCAGGGCCTGGCGTATACTAGACACTCAATAAATAAATATTTGTTGCCAGGCATGGTGGCTCACACCTGTAATCCCAGCACTTTGGGAAGCTAAGGCAGAAGAATCTCTTGAGGTCAAGAGTTTGAGACCAACCTAGGCAACATAGTAAGACTCTGTCTGTATAGAAAATTTAAAAATTAGCTGGGTGAGGTGGCACATGCCTGTAGTCCCAGCTACTCAGAAGGCTGAGGTGGGAGTATCACTTGAGCCTGAGATGGAATCTGTAGTGAGCTATGATCATGCTTCTACACTCCAGCCTGGGTGACAGAGCAAGATCCTGTCTCTGAAAAAATTAAATATATTTGTTGACTACTAAATGAGTGAATGAGAGAATAGAATCAGTCAGTCCAGTCTCAGGAATGCTTTTTGGAATAAATATTTCCAATTTAAGGGACAGATGAATTCACAGCACTAATGATACCATCTTTCCTTCTGGTAGTTATAGTCTTGGACATGACATTTCAAGAGGAAAACAGAAAGACTGGAACAAGGACTAGAAGAAGCAGTGAGCCAAATCACTTACCAGGTGAGAGTACTGTATCTAGTTTCCTGCCTGGAATCTGCACCTTTTTTTTTTGAGTTGAAGTCTGTCGCCCAGACTGGAGTGCAGTGGCCGCTCCCGGCCACCGCAGCCTCGGCCCGCTGGGGTCCGGCGATCCTTCTGCCTTAGCCTTCCTAGTAGCTGGAACTACAGGCGCGCTACCACACCCGGCTAATTTTTTGATTTATTGTAGAGATGAGGTTTCACCAAGTTGCCCAGGCGGGTCTCAAACCCGCAGGCTCAGGCAATTCACTCACCTCAGCCTCCCAAGGCACGGGATTACAGGTGAGCCACCGAGCCCAGCTAAATCTGCACTTTTTAACAAGCACCCTCAGGTGATTCTGAATCAGGTGGTCTGGGGACCATCCTTTGGAAAATATGCTCTGGAACATCCTTTTGGGGTCTGAGTGTTAACTTCATTCACAGTCATCAAGCTTCCTAGAGAACCATGCTGACATCACCATGCCTATTTAATGTGAATCAGTCTTTATTTTGCACTTCTGTGGTGCATTAACAAATTCAACATACAAGATAGCATTACATATTGTAGGTTAGCATTACAGCATTATGCAATTTCACACAATTCATGTTAGCTTTTTCGGTTTTTTCTTTTTAATTTGACACATTTATTTTATTTTCGAGTTTCATTATTACAAGAGAAGACACAAGGTAAAGAAAGACAACCACTTCGGAGAGGGATCACGGTAAGGGCAATGTCACTGTCATGGCCATAGTAAAAGCCTTCCAAGAAAAGGGACTTGCATTATTCCCTCTCCTGAGCAAGTCGCCCCTGTCCCACAAACCAGTTCTCTCTGTTTTCATACCTAGAGCACTGTCCATACACATATACATCGTGGCTGTGCTCCACTGAGATGAACTGAAAGAACGAATAACTCATAAAGGGACTTTTGTTATTAAGAAAAACTCTTGTCTTCCCTAAGGAATCAAGATATCTGCAGAGAAGGACCGACGGTTGGAAAATCACAAGTGACTATTCCCTAACCATTCCTGACCACGAGTGCCTTGTGCAAAAGCTAGGATGTGACTCTCTTGTCTTTCAACTGACCCTTAGGCAGAGGTGCTCCTCCTCCACGCTTATCAGGTAGCTCTGGAGCGAATAAATGCGAAAGCCAAAGTCAGCTAAGAAACTTTGGGACAGCAAAGTCAAGGGTGCGATGGATCAGGCCTGAGGTAGGAGGGAGGAACCCTGTAGAGCCCGCCTCTTTGCCTCCTTCTGGCAAAGACACAAAGGCTCCTAGTTACAGAACTACTGGTCCTGCCCCTGTCACCTCACCACCCACTGCTCAGTAGACCCAAAGAATGCGAGGAATAAAGCTACAAGGAAACAGGGGAGAAGGGAGTGGGGTGAGGCTGTTTTCCCAGACTTCTGTCAGGAGGAGCTACAGAGGCACACACAGCAGGGCAAAGACCAGACTATCTCCACCAGTTGCTTTGCATTGTTCCTGGGAAGGAAACAAAAGCGGTCACTCAGCAATTTCTGATCTTTAGACATTAAGGCGATGAAGAGGAACCGTTTAAACTTTTTCCTAATGGGGCTTCAGAATGCTCCTGTCAGATTTACAGTAAACTATCTCCAAATGCATTTTTAGAAAACAAAAATTATTTTCTTCTACGTATTATACAATATTTACATTTCATGGGGTATAGGACAGAGACTAGTGGTGTGACCCCGATCGATGGGGAGATAGTGAATCAGATTATGGGGGACGGGGGTTGACAGGGACAAGAACAGAGAGTGGGCTTTGTGCTAGCTCAGAACTGCTCTGCATTGTCAAGAAGATGGGCCGATACAAAACAAAAGGTGTGGGGGGAGCAGATTGGTTTTAAGTCCACAAGAGCTAAGGGAACACTCAAGGCAAGATCACCACCTTCTCCATGGAAACCTGGCTTCTAACTCCCTTCTCAAAAGCAGGTTGGAAAGGGATGTTCTTGTGTGGGAAGTGGACGCTTTAGTCTCAGTCTTTCAGGCCCTGGATCAAGCTGTTGCTTACTTGATTGAGCTCCTCTTCAGGCTGTCTGTCCAAGCTCACCTATCGTCCATGAAGTCCCTGCAGCTGAGAGTCTCAACATTGGAGACACAGCTGCACTAGGAATCAGGAGACTTGACTTGACTTCCAATCCCAGCAAGATGCTGGATCTTGCTCAATATCTATCACCCAGCAGGGGGGAGGACTGTACCCTGTGGTTCCTCTATTCCTCTACCATGTTTTAGCACTCGTAAGGTATAAGAACTACGTACTTTATTTTGAGGAAGAGGATGTTCTAAAAGGATCCGACTTACCTTTATGACTCAGTTAGTTACGTTGTTTTTTTAAATAGCCATCACTGAAAAATTCAAGGAGAAAATAATTTCTGAGGGCCTTTTTTTTTTTTTTTTTGAGTTGGAGTCTCACTCTGTCGCCCAGACTGGAGTGCAGTGGCCGCTCCCGGCCACCGCAGCCTCGACCTGCTGGGCTCCGGCGATCCTTCCACCTCAGCCTTCCAAGTAGCTGGAACTACAGGTGAGCGCTACCACGCCCGGCTAATTTTTGATTTATTGTAGAGATGAGGGCTCGCCAAGTTGCCCAGGTGGGTCTCGAACCCGCGGGCTCAGGCAATCCACTCACCTCAGCCTCCCAAAGGCACGAGATTACAGGCTGAGGGCCTTTTTCTTTAGGAAGCAAATCTAACTTCACTATAACATCTAAGCCATTGGAGAAGACTCTATTGTCTCCATGGTCAGCATTTCTGGAAAAAAACAAAGACCAGTGTAATCTTTCAAACCTCTGATGACTTCCAACCCATCAACCAAGAAATGGCTGTAGACAGCTGCAAAGGGGGGTGGCAGTCATCTCTCGTCTCCTCTCTTTTTCCTTACACCTGAAAATTGCATTTGGGATCAGCTGAATGTTCGCTGGTACCACCCTACTGCTGAATTTGAAGTCTCCAGGGCTCCTTTTAGAGAAGCCCTCTAGTTTTGTAAATCCAAGTTGTACCCGATAAGCCTGCAGTATTCTCCGTGCCTCACCTGGGCTACCAGTTAGTCACAGACTGCCGTTTATCCCTTCCTAGCAGGAGGACTGACAGCAAAACATCCCATTTCTCAATGACTCTTTCTCCCGCAAACCCAGCCTTATCCATCCCACCTTTGTTTCTTGGTTTCCTACAGACCTCTAGACCTTGAGCTCAGCCAAAGAGCAGAGACATAAGAGGCAATAAGGAGAAAAGATGGGAATGATGAGAACATAAGGTTTTACAGGAGAAAAATTTTCTTCTGCAGAGATGGGGAGTAATTCTCCAGAGAAGCCCAATAAAAAGAGGCCAATTTCAGGTAATCGGCAAATACAATTCGGCACAAAACACAATTTCCATGGATTAAAATCTGCAACTTGATATTGGCAGTTAGGCTAATTTCTTCAGTTTGTATTAGACATGCAAGTATAAGGTTACATTGTTATATATAGACTTGTAGGGGTCTTTCCTTCTCTTTTTTTACCCCCATTTAAAAGAAAAAATTTCTAGTGCCTTGCCAAGGAGATAAAATAATCATCGCTAAGAACTCATCTGCGGCTGTGGTCATGTGGGGTTTGTGGTGTTTGTTTTGTAAGAAATTTTCTTCTACAACTAAAATGAGGTTTGAGTCCGCTTCTCTGTCATCTCTTTCCCCGCCATATCCCTCCCCAGCCGGGCACCGGGGTTAGAGGCGAGAAGAACAGGATTAGTACTCGCTCAGACTGTGCCACTTGGCTACAGGCTTGCGGGGGCTCTCGCAGACCTCTCTCCAGTGCTCAGCACCACTGGCTGTGACACTGTGTGCCCCCAGGATCAGCCTCCCCACCACTTCGTTCTTGGTGGTGCGGTCGAAGTCGATGACGAGGAACTCGATGCTGATATCGGGCAGGAGCTCAGTGGGGATGTCGTAGATGAAAGACTCGTTGAAGACTGGGTTCAAAGTGCACTTCTTCACGTGGGTTTTCTTCTTGGCGATGCGCTTTCTGCCGTAGTAGACGTTCACCTTTACATAAGGATCTGGGGACCCCAAGGAGATAAGAAAGAGAGAGACAGGCCTATGACACGGTCCTCTCCTGTATAATGGGGATTTCATGCTGGGGAGGGAAGGTCTCTCTTGCTTTTATCTTTGGTGGCCACCCCCACGTGGTCTTTAGTGATGGCACAGTACGCACACTGACTATGTGGGTTGGCCTGCCTGGATAAGAGGCCAAAGAAACCAAGCGGTAATAGAACAGAACAACTTTCTCAAGTCAGGTCTGAAGAAATCCCATGATGCTAAGAAGCATTTTCTTTTTTCTTTTTTTTTTTTTTTTTGAGTTGGAGTCTCACTCTGTCGCCCAGACTAGAGTGCAGAGTGCAGTGGCCACTCCCGGTCACTGTAGCCTCGACCCGCTGGGCTCCAGCGATCCTTCTGCCTCAGCCTTCCAAGTAGCTGGAACTACAGGCGCATGCTACCACGCCCGGCTAATGTTTTGATTTATTGTAGAGATGAGGTCTCGTCAAGTTGCCCAGGCGGGTCTCGAACCTGCGGGTTCAGGCAGTCCACTCACCTCAGCCTCCCAAAGGCGCGGGATTACAGGCTGAGCCACCGAGCCCGGCTAGAAGCATTTTCAAGGGCCCAGGGACTGAATAATGCCTGCAGTCTTTTTGAGAAGTCTCATTGGGCAAGCACTTAGCATCTGGCATTATTATTACTATTATTATTATTATTATTAGAGTCAGGGTTTCTCTCTGTCATCTAGGCTGGAGTGTGGTGACGCGATCATCACTTACCACAGCCTTGATTTCCTTGGGATCAGGTGATCTTTCTGCCTCAGTCTACCAAGTGGCTAAGACACAGGTGCAGACCACCATGCCTGGCCAATTTATTTTATTTTATTTTTTTGTTTTTTTTGGGTTTTTTTGAGTTGGAGTCTCACTCTGTCGCCCAGACTGGAGTGCAGTGACCTGCTGGGCTCCGGTGATCCTTCTGCCTCAGCCTTCCAAGTAGCTGGAATTACAGGGGCGTGCTACCACACCCGGCTAGTTTTTTGATTTATTGTAGAGATGAGGTCTCACCAAGTTGCCCAGGCGGGTCTCGAACTCACAGGCTCAGTCAATTCCCATCTCAGCCTCCCAAGGCATGGGATTATAGGCTGAGCCACCAAGCCCGGCTTATTTTATTTTTTGTAGAGAAAAGGTCTCACTATGTTGCCCAGGCTGGTCTCGAACTCTGAGACTCAAGCAATTCTCCTGCCTTGGCTTTCCAAAGTGCTGGGATTACAGGCATGAGCTACTGCATCTGGCCTTGGCATGCATATTATTTAGAATACATGGTTGCAGGGCTCAGTGGCTCAGTCTGTAATCCCGTGCCTTTGGGAGGCTGAGGTGAGTGGATTGTCTGAGCCCGCGGGTTCGAGACCCGCCTGGGCAGCGAGACTTCATCTCTACAATAAATCAAAAACTCAGCCGGGCATGGTAGTGCATGCCTGTAACTCCAGCTACTTGGAAGGCTGAGGCGGAAGGATCACCGGAGCCCAGCAGG